CCTGCCTAGAATCCCCCAGTGAGGGGCTGGGGTGTGGCTCAGTGGTAGAGCCCCTGCCTAGAATTCCTCAATGAAGGGCCAGCCTAGATGCTCAGAGGGAAACATTTGCCTAGCATGTTCCAGGCCCTGAATGATCTTCACAATCCAGGGCCAGCCATACAAACAGATGCATCCAAGATAGAGGGAAATAGACAAAAGGAAAAGGCCATCCACAATCAATATCTCTCTCTCTCTCTCTCTCTCTCTCTCTCTCTCTCTCTCTCTCTCTCTCTCTCTGGAGAGGGTAGGTAACCTTTTAGTGCTTGTGTGAATGTGTGCATGAGAGAGTACAGGTGTGCACACACGGATGTGGGAAGACAACCGCAGTGTTGGTATGACCTTACATTTGTCATCAGACAAGCCCCCTGCACGGCTGCTGTTGTTTACCTCTAGATACAGAAGACTATCTGGACCCCACATTTCAAACGATTCTGCTGTGGCCCTCCCCTCACCCAATAGCAGCCCTAGGATTATAGACACAGGCTGTCCCATTCAGTTTACATGGGTAGTGAAGATTAGAACTCAGACCCTCAGCTGGACATGGTAGCACACCTTTAATCCCAGCACTCGGGAGGCAGAGGCAGGCAGATCTCTGTGAGTTCAAGGCCAGCCTGGTCTACAGAGTGAGATCCAGGACAGCCAGAGCTACACAAAGAAATCTTGTCTCCCAAAACCAAACAACAACAAAAAGAACTCAGATCCTCACACTTTCAGAGCAAACAGTTAACTCAGTCATTTTCAAACTCCCCCACAAATCCCACTTTAGATTCCCACTCACCAAGATGAGGTCACCGTGGGGATCTTTGCAGTTACACTGAATCTTGGGAATACACTTGTCACCACTCAGCACATAGCCAGACTGACAGATGCAGCCCTCCTTGCAGGTGAAGGCTTTGGGGCTGACGCCCTTGCAGAAGCCCTCAGGGTCCAGGCAGGAAGGCTGGCAGGAGGGCAGGCAGTCGGTGTAGCGACTGTGAGCGGGGCACTGCAGAGCTACGGGGTGGAGAGAGAATACGGTTAGTGGAGAGGACAGCGGAGGGAGGGGCCAGGAATTAGGAACGAGAGAAATGAGACAGGGCAGAATGGCCAACAGAACTCAGGGTTTTTCTCCTTTCGTTACTGATTCAGCAAACCTTTACCGAGCACAGACTGTGCCAAGCCCTGAGGAAAGAAAGAAAGAGTGGTTTTTCTCACCTCGGTTTGGGAAACTAACCGTTGAGAGACCAGCACGGGAAGGACCCCTCGGCAAGCATGTACTGACATGGGCTGTGTGTAAGAAAAGGTGGCTCTCCCAAGGTACCAGGGACAGTAATTCTGATGGTCGGTTTTAACTGTCAACTCCACACACTGCAGTCACCCAGGAAGACGACTAGCCTAGCCAGGTCTCCAGAACCCTCCCACCATGTTACTACCTCCAGTCCCTGAACCCCCAGGCCCGGGGGTGGGGGGGGGACTAAGCGTTCTCTCGCCCTGCCTCCACCTCGCTCATGGCTCTCTTACTGATTTCGGCACAGTCACTGCTGCCATCCTCGATGTCCTGGCACTGAGTCCCCGAGGGGCACTGGAACTCGTGACACTGAACCAGTCCGCCCTCGCAGGTACATTTCTGGGAGCAGCCTGTGGCAATCCAGGTCTTGCCTGCCTACACAAACCACACGGAGGATACAGACAGTAAGGACAAAGGGTCCAAGTGTAAGAGACAGGCTTAGCCTGCTGTCTGAAGGGCTTACTTTGCCATCCTTATTGAAGGCTCCACATCTATTAAGTCAACTAAGTACAGGTGGGAAACACAGGAAAACTGTATCTGGAGCTTTTTAGCAGTAGAGGGCCTGTGTAGACTCCACTAGGAAGAAGGTGGGAGCAGGTCTCTGCCTTAGATTATCTGTCTAGAATCCCCCAGTGAGGGGCTGGAATGTGGCTCAGTAATAGAGCATGTTCCTAGCCTGCTCCAGGCCCTGGAAAACTCCAGAGTCAATGATAGAGTCATGTACATCCTAGGCTCACAGAACAGAGGGAAAAAGGAAGGGGCCCCAATTCCAAATTCTGTGCCCACTCACCGGAATGGGGGCACCCTGGGAGTCTTTGCAGCCACACTGAATTCTGAGTACACACTTGTCCTTATTGAGCACAAAGCCAGACTGACAGAGGCAGCCTTCTTTGCAGGTAGAGGGGCCTGTGACGCTGGGGACCTCACAGTGCTCATTCAGGTTGGAGCAGGATGGGATACAGGAAGGAAGGCAGTTGGTGTAGTAGCTGTGGGGTGGGCATTTCAGAGCTACGGGGTCAGAAGGATACGGGATTAGTGCATAGGGCTTGAGAGAGCCAGAGGAAGTAGGGGCTACAGAAATTAGGCTGGGCTGAATGACAAGAAGAGCTGGTGACTTTTCCCTCGGCCTATCCACACCGCAAACCCTTGGTGAGCACGAACTGTGCCAAGTCCGGAGAGAAGAAAGTAAGGGGAGTGGGTCTCCCAAGTCAGTGTGGGAGGCAAACCACTGAGAGCCAAGCGCTGGGAAGAGACCCTGCTATGGGTCCCCAGAACTCTCCCCACGTGGTATCTAGTATCCTGACCTCTCAGGCCCAGGAGACTAAGCTCCTCCTTGTTCTGTCTCTCATCTATCCAGCCACAGACACACCCTCTCCATTTTTCCCATAGCTTCCTTACCAACTTTGACACAGTGACTGCTGCCATCATCATCGTCCTTGCAGTGAGTCCCCGAGGGACACTGGATATCCCGGCAATGAATCTTTCCTGCCACACAGGTACAGTTCTGGGTACAGCCCTTGGAGAGCCAGGACTTTTCTGCCTGCAGAGATCATGGAGAGAGAAAAGAAGGAGATAGAGATGGCAGTTCTAGGAAGACAGCTTTATGCCATGTCTGAAGGACTCACATTTGTCTTCCCTGTTCACAGGTTTCACTCTATAGCACCAACCAATCACAAGTGAACAATACTGGAAAAACTATTACAAATGGGAGTTTTGGTATATCTCAGTGGGAGTGTGTCTATCTAGAATCTCCAGGTAAGGGATAGGTATGTGGCTCAATGGTAGAGCGCCTACCTAGAATCCCCCAGTGAGGGGCTGGGGTGTGGCTCAGTGGTAGAGCACCTGAAGAGAGTCCTCCAGTGAGCGGCTGGGGTGTGGCTCAGGGGTAGAATTGTGGTTGAAATTTTTTCTGTAGGGGTCTAGGAGCATAGATCAGTTATAGAGCAAGGCTGCCTAGTACTTGTCTTGAATCCCCAAGTGATGAACATGTAAGGGTGACATCTGGTTAAAAGATAGAGCACTTGTAAAGCATGTGCTAGGCCCGACCAAGCTTCATGCTGCAGGGCTAGCCATACAGACAGAAGAACCCCAGATAGACAAAAGCAGGGGAAGGAGAAATGGCTGTCAATCCCCCTTTGAAAACAATCTTTAATGACATTTATCTTTGTGTGTCCACACACATGTGCACATGCATGACACGTGTGTGGTCAGAAGACAGATTGCTGGAGTCAGCTCTCTCCTTCTCCCACGTGGATTCCAGACATTGGCTTGGCCCTTAGGCAAGTGCCTTCACCTATGGAGCCATGTTCCAGGCACACTACGTTTTTTAAAATTACCTTTTTTATGTGCATTGGTGTTTTGCCATGGGTGTTGGGTCCCCAGGAACTGGAGTTACAGACAGTTGTGAGCCGCCATGTGGGTGCTGAGAATGGGTCCTCTGCAAGAGCAGCCAGGGCTCTTAACCACTGAGCCATCTCTCCACCCCCTACTTTTTTTTTTTAAAGCTAATCTTGTGTGTGTGTGTTCTGTATTTAATCATGGCGCACACATGTGTGGAAGTCAGAGAACAAATCTTGGGTGTTGGTGCTTACCTTTCACCCCATATTCAGATATTCAGGCAGCATAGACTACCAAGCGCCTAAATGTTGTGGCTTTTCCTATCTCTGCCTCCTGTCTCACATAGAAACCCTGGGATGACATAAAGGCCTCCTGCAAACAGTTCACTGGACTGTGGAGATTCCAATCATGTCCTCTCCTTGTGCTGACCCAGGGCCTTACTCACTGAGCCACCTGCCCAGGCGCACCAGTCTTACACCTGGCATGCACTCACCGGGATGAGAGCGCCCTGGGCATCTTTGCAACCACACAGAATCCTGAGCATACACTTGTTGTTATGCAACACAAAGCCAGCTCGACAGATACAGCCCTCCTTACAGGTGGAGGGGACTCTTGGGCTGGTGCCCCCACAGAGGCCTTCTGGGTCCGAGCAGGAAGGTATACAAGAAGGTAGGCAGCTGGTGTAGCGGCTGTGGGCGGGGCACTGCAGAGCTATGGGGAGAGAGAGTAATGTTAACAGAGAGGGAGAGAGGGGTCCAAAGACACCGAGGCTACAGAAACCAAGCTAGGATGAATGCCCAACACAACTTGTGTTCTCCACTCTTTTTGCTTCTGTTTTTCCTTTTGCTATTCATTCAGCAACCATTTACTGAGCCTGGGCTAGGTGCCAGTCCTAAGGAGGAACAAACCAATGTATCTCCCAAGTTAGTGTGGGAACTTAACAACTGAGAGACTAGTACTGAAAAGAGATGCAGTCCACAGTGGGCCTCCTAAGTTCCTCTGTATTGTGGTATTTCTTATGTTCAACCTCCAAAGCCAGGAGACTATGCTCCTTGCCCTGCCTCTGATCCTGGCAGCCATGAACACACCCTCCATGCTTTCCCCTATTCCCCTCTTACGGATTTTGGTGCAGTTAACGTGGCCGTCCCGGCCATCCTGGCACTGAGTCCCTGGGGGGCAGTTGAAGCTTCGACATTGGATAGCCCCTCCCACGCAGGTACAGCTCTGGGTGCAGCCACTGGAGACCCAGGTCTCGCCTGCCTGGAGAAGCCAGGGAAGAGAAAGGGGGTGAGGCTAGACAGGCTGCTCGAGGGATACAGCCTCACCTCCTTTCTGAACAGCTTCAGTTTGCCCTCTCTATCTCTCTATACGTTCTACATCTATTGAGTCAAGCAACCATAGGTGGAATGGATTTGAAAAGAGAATTGTATGTGGGGAAGGGGGATTATCAGCTCATTGGTAGATCATGGTCCTAAATCCTTAGTAAGGACCTCTAAGAATAGCTCAGTCATACAACTCACTTGTGTTGTAGACTCCCCCAGTGAGGGGCTGGGGGTGTGGCTCAGTGGTAGAGCACCTGCCTAGAATCCCCCAGTGAGGGGCTGGGGTGTGGCTCAGTGGTAGAG